ATAGGTATATATATATATATATATTCATATATATATATTATATTCTCTATTTGAATGCCAACCCGTTTTTGCTGACAATACTTTTCATTTTTGTGATCAGCTGGCAATGGATAGTTGTACTTAATCTCACAAAGGGTTATCAACTAAGCAAGTGCAACGTACATATTCCTCTCTCTCTCTCTCTCTCTCTGTCGCTCTTCTCTCTGCCTAGCTGCCATACGTAAAAGAAACCAGTTTCACCTTCAGCTCAGCTGGCTAACAGCTGAGTGATGTACTCAAGACGATAATTATAGAGACTGAACAAAGTGGTTTTAGGTACCTAAACCTACGACAACTACAACTACAACAACTATAAAAAACTTAAAGACGTCAGAGCTGTTGTACATAAAATATATATAGTCTGTAGGCTAAGAATGTTTATGCTTAAGTATATATAGATATGTTTATTAATGCCTAGGTCTAACGATTGTTGACCATATGTATGTAGGATAGACGAGCCCGGAAATATTGCCAGCTAACTGTTGTTCCTCTATCCAATGCTAAACAAATTTGTCGCCGTCGAAGTTGCTGTTGTTGTTGTTGTTGTTGCTGCTGCTGCTGCTGTTGTATTTGCCGCTTCAGACAACGGAACTAAAAGTATAACACTCTGTCAATCATACGCTTTATCAGTCCGTCAGCTAGTTAATTTCCTTTTTCGCCCATTGCCATACAGTGCAATGCATGGGGGCAATTTGTTAATGCGTGTGCTTTGCTAGCAACAACAATACGAGAGAATTGTCTATCAACAAATATATATACAATTATGTGGGTATGTAGAACAAGGCAATGTTATTAATATAAAAATAATACACACAGCTTAACATGAATAATGAATACTAATAGGAAATGTAATGAAAAATGTAAAGCTTTGTATAGAATAACTTTTGTATGTTCCTGGCTTTATATGATAAATCTTTGCTCAACTTCATTTGCGACGCATCACATACTTCGTATTTGTAACAAAAGGGCAAACAAAAAAAAAAGCTTGAATACACTTCAGTTCATTTAGCTAAGCCGACAACTACACATCCTCTCCTCTCTCTCTGTACGCCTTCCTATCAACACCAATTGCAGCGCATTACACAATTCGTATTTGCCAAATCAATTATTTTGTAAAACAGAAAAAAAAGAGCAAGACAAAAAAAAAATTACGCAAATACTCTTCGGTTGATTTAGCGACACCGATAACTGTACTGCAATCGCTTTTCTTTCGTTTGCTGCTCTTTCTGTTTACTTTCTTACATTTGCTGCGATTGTTGTCAAAAATGTTAATTTTCCAAAAGCTTGCTCGTAATACGATATACATATGTTAATATTTATTTGCATACATACAAACATACATGCGTATTGGTATACATTTTACTGTTATCCTCTTACAAGACAATAAAATTATTTTAGCACAAGCTGTTCGCGAAACTTCTAAACACCCCCAGAGTTACGCCTCTCTCTGAGATTATTTGCATACACGCACACAAACACGCGCCCAGGCACGGGCACAGGCACAGGCACGTACATCTGTTTGCGCATATGCGTGTGTGTCAACATATGACGTCACTAGAGAGGAGCAACAAGTAAAAGTAACAACACATCAGGAAGCAAATATAGCAAACAATCCGCCGGCTACATGGACTACATGTCCACGAGGCTTGTTTGCATTTTTTTCTTGCTCTCATTATCGATTCTTTATTAAGTCTTTTTTTTCGGGAGAGCACACACTGGGCGCCAGAGCAGCTTAACAGTGTCCAAGCGGGCGGGCGGATGGTACGCATGTATTTACATACATGCATATGTAGTATGTGCCCTTACAATCATCTACATGTACATGTGGCCAAGCATGCGTAAGCGTTGTATGCGTATGTCGCAGCAATAGACAGAAAAGCACGTAAAAGACAAAAACTGGACGTTCGAGTAAACATGTGAGCCGTGTGAGCCAGCCGCGTGCGATTTTCATTTAAAATTTTAAGTTTTCAGCTTTTCAATGTTCATTTCCATTTCAGTCTCTCAATGTCGACAGATAGTTGACGTTTTTTTTTTAGATAAGCATATATATATATATATATATATATAAACGTATGTACATGTATATATTTTTTAAAATTTTGTTTGTCAATTTTCCTGGCACATAGTTAAGAGCTATAGGTGCTTTTGGACAATAGAAAACTAAAAACAAACACAAAAAATGTTGAAAATTGTTTGAGTCCAAACTATGTCTAAGCAGCTGGTTGAACATAATGTACATATATACATATCTATTTGAGATATAATATATGTATATAAAGTCGAGTCGCGATAGTAATAATGTTCCCCCAAAGTCCAAAATCTCAATAATTCGTAAAAAGCAAATTTTTCTTAAAAAAAAAACACCCGTTAATTCGTAAAAATTATATACATTTGGTATCCTTACCGTAAATCGTAATATTTTTTCGACGCAATAGATATATTACCTCTTATAAACGGTAATCTTACCAAATCTCTTGCAATTCGTAATGCAAATTGACGTTTTCTAAACAGCTATGCAGCCTTTATGTCGCTATTCATTCTAAATTTTGTGGGTTTTTCTTCGCTTCCGCTTAGTTAGATGATATATATACATATATAATATCTATATATAAATATCAACCAGTTGTAGATTAGCACAAGTAGGAAGACAAAGACGAACCAGTATAGTCGACAGCGGAGTTTGCTGATGATAGAACCCCGGAAGGTTCTTGAAAGCTATACAGACAACCAGCATGACCTCGAGCCTGGAAAATTTACAAAAGTATATATACACATATATACACATATATACATATATATATATATATATATATATTTAATTAATTTATTTAGGTTTAACGACTATTACAATAATCCAAAATCCCTGTTGGAAGTATGCTTATACTTACAAACCGATGTACATATAGATATCAAAAAACTCTTCTGCAGTGCACATACTCACACAGACACACATACGCCGAAGATCTGCAAGGCAAAAGCAACAAGTTACAAAACTGCGGGAGTGAGCAAATGATTGCGTTAATGTTAGCAGGCAAAGAGAGCGAGAGAAGGTAGAGAGCAAGAGAGAGAAAGACGTGCACAAATTGGGAGCGCGTTTGCGCAACTGAGTCAATGGATAAGTGAACAATGTGTTGAGTTCACAACGCAGACAACAGAGTGCACCTTGCAACAAGAAGTCCAGCCACAAATGTTACTCCAGTCATGGCCAAGACAAAGAACAAACATATACTAGCTGCACATATGTACACATACACAAGTGTATAGCGTACATATGCACATGTGCTTACATATATACACATATTTTCTGTGTGTGCATGAACCTAAACAAAGAAACAAACGGAGGAGCTGCTAAGTTAGCTGGCGCGTAATTAGTCAGGCAGCAAAAACAAAAAAAGAAAACAAAAAAGTCAACGTTGCTTTCGTAGGATTTGTTTTGTTTGGGGTTGCGCTTTTGGCAACGGCAACACATATATATAGTGACCGGGAGGAGCAGCACCAGACAATGCTCTCGGGCATTAGAACGCGATCTTGACATACACTGACTCAGCAGCGCAGCTGTCCCACACTCGTTCTCTCCAATAGAGTCCACTTCACGCTCTCTTCCGCTCTCTCTTTCTCTCTCTCTTTCTCGCTCTGACTGGCTCTCTCAAATTTTATGACCGGGCAGGCAGGCAGACAGGCAGACAGGCAGGCAGGCAGTCAGGCGGCGACGTCGACGGCCAGTCAGTATCGATTGAACAGTCGCGCGTAACACATCGAACCGATGCGGAGAGCCCGGCTAGGCCCCCACACCCCCGTTTGTAATAAATAGCGTTGCACGAAGCGACCACGCTAGCAAACGGCAAGAATACGCTGAGAACGACGGAGGCGGCACAACCAACCAGCAACGCGAGAGGCAATAAAACACAAAATAAAAAAAATAAAAAATAAAAATAAAAATAAAATACAAAAACTAAAGCAAAGAAAGAAAACCAACAAAAACAGACAGTTAGAACAGCTGGAAAATAAGGCGAAACTTGACGAAACAGACGAGCCTAAAAGAGAAAATAAATATTACCATTCTATATTTTACATTTTTTTTTTGTATTTTGACGTTCGTTCGTTCCAAATTCAATTCGTATATTTTGCGCGTTTTCGTCTTTAGACTTAATGTTTTATTATAATTCCGTTAAAACGTGCCTTGTAACTTAATATACATACATAGCAATACATGTATATAGATATATTTGAAAAGAGTTTTCTTACTCTGTTCTGTGGCACTTTTAAGTTATAATAAATCATACAAATTGTAAATTACGAATGGAAAAAACGTCGCTCAGATAAGAAATTCTGCAGTTAACTAAATGAAACCACGCAAAGCTCGAGAAATTTGATAAAAATAAAAATTAAGAAATATATATATATTTATATGTATGATATATATGTATGTGTATGACTATAAAAATAAAATAAAAAACAAGTTACATGAACAAGTTATAATATAAAAAGAAAAGAAAAAAAATAAAAACAAGGTAATGCTACAGATTTGACATCATTAACATAACACAACACACACACACACACACATACATACATAGAGAGCGAAATACATAAGCAGCCAAGTAAATAAAAATAAATTAGCAACTACAACAAATATAACCTTGGCACTATGTTAGAAAACAAAAAAGGAGCAAAGTAAAAAGTAAAAAATAAAAATAAAAAAAAATACAAAAACTCAAATACACAATAAGAAAAATCGTTGTTTTAGAACTTTGGCAAGACACATTTTTCTGCCCAATATTTTTTTTCCATTTATTTTCTGTGCTTGCGTCGGCGACAAATATCGAAATACGAGCAAAATTCTACCAAAAAAAAAAAAATATATATATATAAAGAAAACAAAAACAAAAGCCAACGCGACGCTCCATAAAAAAAATGCTAAACAAAAAATAAACGAACAACGGAACGGAACGGAACGCAACGCGCGAAAATATTAAAAGAAAACAAGAGAACGAAGCAGGCGCAAAGAAAAATAATATTCATAATTCTTTAGATACGTCGATGCACTACCATATAGACGAAGGACGGACAACAACAACAGCAACTGCACACCTGATACACCCTAAAGCAGTGAAAAGAACATAAAAGAAAGACGAAACACTAAACAACAACAACAAAGACAAGAAATCAGCCAAGCAACAACAACAACAATGACAACAAAACCACCAAGAAAAGTAGCACCCGATGGCGGCTGGGGTTGGGTTGCCTGCTTCGGCGTCAGTTTGGTCAATGTAAGTTTGATTTCAGCTCATTACAAATACAATTTTAGATATTACACACAGCTATGGTCGCCTAGTCCCTCGGTGGTTCGGTTAAGATCGTTAACAGTTAGGCTAGGTTAGTTTTAGGAATGGTGCGTCACAGACGATAAGATTTAGTGTATTACGTTTATCAGTGTTATATCTATGTCTGATTCAGTTTAACATGAACTAGTTCATGGACTCCATGGACTCAGCTTTAACACTAAATATTCTTTACTACTATAATTATTAATAAATCAAAAACATTTCAAAACTTAATGAATGAATTGCAAATTGAAGTAAAGTATTGCTATCCATCATCATTATCATATAAATTATACAGATAGATCAATTATATAAAATCATAAACCCCATTACTATCTAATGAACGAACTTAGGGCAAATCTCTCAGGCATCTGTCATGCAAATCAAGCAACGAAAAGAAGCTTTTGGGCTTAGTCTATATTGACAGCATTGACATACACATATCTAGCAACATAGACTAGATATATATATATATATGTACACATCGCTTCTCGATGGTACCTGACACATTTAAGCAACGCAACGAGTTGCAAACAATTGCGCTTGACATTGAGCAAATATATGAATAAACACTTAAACAGGCTGCAGTCGGGAGTGCACGACTCGTAAATACGCTCACCAGACTTAGCATCTCTCGCTAGAGCTTCGTCGCTGATTTGCTGCATTTGCAGTTTGAGTAAACAGGCAATATTTAACATATCGTATACAGTCAGATATCGCTTGCCCAATTCAAGTTGCATATGAGCGGAGAATGGGTGAAAAATATGTAGCGTAAGACGCATGATCTTTGCATAGCGCATCTTCCAACGGCTTTCTCAATCACGTATATGAAGATTCGGTGTGCAAACTCCATATGACTCAAACACTCATTTCCAACCCAGGGGAAACGCTCTATGGATGCATCAGTCTAAGCGTGCGCGTTGCTACTGACAGCCTTGAGAGCTAGCATAGAAGATCTCTTAACGCTACGCAACACAGAAATATACGTCAGAGAGAACTGCTGTGCTTAGCCCAAAAAGCAAGAGATCTGTGCTATAAGACTTATAATTAATATATAACTAAATAACAGTTAAGCACTCTCGACTCTTCTATTGGCAAGACTTAAGTTCCATGAGCTTAGCACTTTGGCTTTGTACACGATTCCCAAACACAGACGTTGTACCAAAACCGAAGTGCAAAGTTCACCAGGACTCAATGAAGTATCGATGCGAAAGATATATATAAGAAATATAGTATGGACACAAGTTTCGCGAGGCAATTGAATTGGTTGAAAGAAAATTGAATTCTCTAACTTAGTCTGAAGTTCAATGAGTTAATCTGATTCGATCTAAGAGACTAAGACCTATAGACGACAAAGCCTAGTCATGATTCAAACAAAATTTTAAACATCTTGGATCTTATGTCTAATATAGATATATATGAATTTTGATAGATAATATTTTGATAAATAAAAATAGAAGCTTCGACTTAAAACTTGCGAAATTAAATATTTTTGCAAATTTTATTCTAAAATTTTACCCCAGAAAAAAAAAACTTCAGACCAATGCTAACAAAACAACAGAAAATTAGAAAGTAGATAATGCGAAAAGCAAGTTTAGTTAGACGACATCAACAAGTCCGGGCCACACACTTTAGTTGTTCTCTAATTGCCTAGTAACCCATAAAGCCAATAAAAACAAATCTAACTTTGATAAGATTATTGACTCTTGAGGCCCAATATTTGGTATACAAAGCTTATGTTTTGGTCGCACGACATTTCCCAAACGATTAAACACACGTACAGAAACCGTTAAAATTTTGGGCATACTTTGACACTTAAATGCGCAAATTAAAATTTAAAACACCCTCGTAAAAATTAATTGATGTCAAATTCTAGCCCCGTTCACATTACCAACTACAAACAAACAAAAAAAAAAAAAAGAATAAAAAACAAGCACGTATCAATAATATGCATTTTTATGGGCGTAATATGGAAACAAACAAGTAAAAGTGCTCCAGTCGGGAGTGCTCGACTGGGACATACCCTGACCCCTGGTGCAATGCTGCCACTCTTTTAGCATGGATCTGATTTGTGGGAAGGGACACTTCTAGATAGACCTTCTGAATCAATCAAAATCAAATGATCGATTACAAATCGATAAATCGATAATCACTAATGGAATGAGTTATTGCAAAGTATACAAAACAATACAGAAATCTGTAAGTTACATTTCAAGTCTATAAGGGCATTACTCGATCGATCACGCCCCCTTTGTGCGCAGCAAATCAATATACCCCGAGCTCCCATTTTCAATGGGTTCAGGGTATAAAAACAAAAAGCAAACCCAAATATTTAGATCATCATGATCATCATCGTCATCGTCATCATCATCGTCGTATAGTTGCCTAGTTGTGATAGCGCAAATCAGTCGATTATATGACCAAGTCCAGTGGCTGCTTAATCTGTTTGCCTTTCGTTATCTTTCGCAACAGTTTTAATCGCATTTAAATCATTTACGAGGCAAATTAGCCATATTGAATCTTATACAATAACTGAATCAGCTAGTGTCACAGCCCATGCAACTAGAGAGGGAGAGGGACTAGATAGTTCTGTTAGAACTTAATCCCCTTGAGTAAGTTATTGTCAAATAGTGCGCGCATATCCAATTTGTGCGCTATTTGCTTATAGATCTTATCACGTGCGCTTCGTCTATTGCCCTACTCCGATGGCTGGGTCCAAAGATAAAAAGAATTTTCATTAAAAACTTTTGTTTGCATTGACTTTACATAGTGAATGGAATAATGCCGAAGCTTGAATGCGCTTAAATGACTAGTCCCGAATCCGATTCCGTTTCCTGGTTAAGAGCCAGTTACTCGAATAAGGTATTTGAGTTATCATATCCCATTTTCAAAATTAAAGATATTGAATTTCTGGGTAACTCTTACAGAAATGGTTAATATTTTGATGAGGCTAAAAAGTATTGCCTACTTTCCATGCAAATTGAAGAACTTATCTAAAAATATATAAGTGAAGATTCTACGTATCTGAAGTACTATAAAAATTTATACAATTTTTAACACACAAATCAGAAGTATACTAAATGATATAGAAATAGCAATAGACGATTGTGATATCTAATCAAAAATATCTATAAGGATACTCACATAACGCAGTTCTGCAAATGTTGATAAGCCTGCTAAAACTTGAATCAGAATCTCATGCACATTAATTAATAAATGAATAATGCCCAAAAAAAGAGTTCAATAAAAACAAAGATAATAATAGCAGAGCCAACAAACTTATGAACACGTGCCGAACCTTTATTTTTTTTTTTTGGAAATTGGAATTCGAGTTCGAATTGAGTTAGTTCAAAATTGCATTGCATCATTTCTACAAACTGAACAAAGGAGATTGTAGTACAGATAGGTATTATAATATATGTATATATAATATATATAGCTCGATCTATATGTGTGTGAGCTCATCGTATAATTGCCGCATTCAGCCGGAACCCGGCTAATCGCGTCAATTTTCATACAATCAGTCCAGATATACAATTTGATGTTAGCTCTAGCAAAATATAAAACAATTTCGTTTTCCAGCTGATGTTAAACTGTGCCAAGAGCTAAATAAATAAACGCCAAATCGTCAATATTGAATTCTATATATAATGGAATATATAGTATATTCTGCGATATTTCCTATTGGCCTAGGGCAAAAGCGTTCGAATGGAAATGGAATTCCAATAGAATCGTATCTAACTTGATGCCACTAAAAACTGAGTAACAATCAAAGCTCTTAAGATATATATACCTTTAACTTAAGACAAGTACTATTTCTGTAATAGCAACTAGCTGAAAGTTACTTTGCTTCACTGGGACATCTCTGAAGTCTTAAGAGAAGTCGTGAGAAGTTGTTTATATAGAGACACTTCTCAGCAGTTACCCAGACCAGTTCAAGACAAGTCGACTGAGAGATTGTGCCTAAAACCTATATGCCCTTGTTTACTTGGCGAGCGAGCATGCAAATTAAATTTGAAGAATTTCTGCGTCCACAAAGTGGACTTTGTACGCTTCTTGCTGTTGTCTGGCTTTTTTGCACCTCACAACGCAAACACGCCCACAAACTCGGAACTTTCTTCCACACACGGGCAGGGACAGACTTGTCTATACAGATAGTTGGCTGGTTATATATATATATATATATATATGTTTGCAGTCGTGTTTACCCATAAATTATATCGACGCGGGGTTGTTTGGCTGTTCCGTTTGCATTTCCCTTTGTAGATTCTCAGTGTCAATACTCAAATTGAAGCTTCGTTGTTGACAATTTGCTGGCGGTTGTTACTATTTGTTAAGTACCCCCTGCCACTTCGGCCAGCAGGCCAAGAAGAGCAAGAGGAAGAGGAAGCAGTGCCCGGTTTTTATGTCGTTGCGCCAATTTAGTGAAATCCAAGCGATATAACAAATATCGTCATTGATTTGGCGTTTTGTGCTTTGCCTTTTTGCTTTGCTTTCAGGTTTTGTTTCCATGCTCGTTCACGAACTGAAAAGGAGTATATTGGCTTTGCCGTCTTGCATTTGGTCTGTACCCTTTGCCACAACATTAGACACTAACGCTAAGATTGTCCAAAAACTATATATTCTCGCCTACTGGGAGCGTGGTACATGGATAGTTGCCTCGTGAGGTCGTCGCAAATGGAAAGAAAACTATATCTCCCATTGCATTGCTGCTAAAACTTCTAAATTTGATAGACTTCTTCCGCTTGAGTTTGACCAAAGTCGAATTTCACTGTTCTTTGAACCAGGAACGGGTATTATGCAGTCGGTTACCCGAGTGCAATATTTCTACTTGTTTGTTTTTGGTTCTTGTTTTCATTTGATTTTGATATTCTCTTTTTTACGTTCTCTTATCGACAGTGGGGCGATTAGCACCTCGGCACGTTGTCGCTAAAGTTCTCAGAAGC